TTTGTCGTTTCCTCAATTCGCGTCGCAGAATCTTTATAACATGATATTTTTGTCGTTCGAGTTCTTGTACGTTAGTTCGTGCGATTGTGACCCATGAGATAGGGTAAAACGCGTAAAGCCACACGCCATTGGCTGGTCCAAGTACTGCGATAATACTGGCATCGCGTAGCTTATTTCCGATCGCGTTGCATTCGCAATATACAACAGCGGGCCTACCAAATTGCGATACGAAGTGATGTCCTTAACCACTAGGTTTGATTCATCCGGAGTTAGGTCCTGTCCTGCGCAGATAGGGTTGCGAAGTGCATAAGCTCCATTTTGCTCATACTTCGAAAACGACTTTATGATATAAATTGGGACCAACTCCCTCTTTTTTTGGAGTAATTCACTTCCATGACCAAAATAAATCGTGCAGCTCCAAGTGACTCGACAGTAAAGTGCTCCGACAATTCCTTGAAAATCGTATCCACCTCTGCATCTGACTTACATCCAATAAGGAGGTCGTCCACATACAAGACTATGTATGTGGGTGACTTTTTGTTGCATGATTGCTTCGAACAAAAGACATGTGTCTGCTCGACATCGTTCGAAGCTCATGGCCGGAAACACAGAGCAGATTTTTTGTGCCAAACTGCAGCCGCTTAATTTGAACTCATATAAGTTGCGTCGTAGTTTGCACACCATTCCAGGTGCAATCTTAACTCCATGGAATGCCTCCATGGAAGCGTATTCTTCCAAATCACCATTCATAAACGCCATTTTCACGTGAAATTGCTGGATTACATATTGCATGCTGCAACAAACATACAAAAACACACGAATAGTATTTGAGCATGCAACAGGTGAATATTTATCGAAGTAATTAAACCATGCGTTTGCAGATGTCCGAGGGCAATCAAACGCGCTTTGTAACGAGCAATATCACCGTTTCCTTCTTACTTGTGCTCAAGTACCCACTTGTGACCTATGACCTTGTCACTGGAGGACGGTAGACAGCATCTTATTGTGATTCCTAAGATGAGCTCAATCTCTGCTTGAATTGCGGCTTTCCACTTTTCTGCGTCAATTGACTGTAACGCATATCGTAAATTCATCGTTACACCAGTAGCAATAAACGAAATTTCGTAATCGCCAACACATTGACGTTAAGGTCCGGCTCATCTTGCTCGCTTTTTACCGGCGATCCATCAGCCAGAAGGTGCAGATTAATCTTCTCATCTTCAAAGCCATAAAACCTGAGTAGACGATATGACGTGAAGGTACTAAAAGGCCTTTTGTTCATCCCCGAGTACATCCCCATTAGGTCATTTGGGGGCGGTAATTCCTACTAAGTACAATAGCTCGCGACTGATCATGTAAACTTAAGAGCATGTGTGTACCTTTATTGCTACTTCAAGCGACCATTTCGTGTGTAGTGCGACTTATCATCGAATTGTTTGTGTCAATGACTTGTATGTCTGTGCGCTCCCCCTCAATGGGAACAACATCTAAGTTGTGTGATTGAGATCTCCAGACGCATCCACAACCATGTCTTCCCAGCTAGTATCATCGTCAGCAGTCTCAGTAACGTTCATATTGTCATCCTCGTGATTCTTGTTCGAATTAGGTACTCCTACCTTTACTTCGTCTGACTCATCATGCAAATGTTTGCATTGAGCAATAGGCTTACTTAAAAAAACAACATCTTCGTAACGCAAAGGAGGGCTCTCGTTTAGCGTAACGGACCTAGTCATGACCAATTGTCCTCTCGCCGTATCCCACACTCGGTACGCCTTTAACGTTTCCGAATACCGAAGAAAAATACACTTGTTTGCCTTGCTTTCCCATTTAGTGCGCTTGTAATCCGCGACTCGTAGATAACCAGTCGAACCAAAGACACTAATATGACTTAAGTATGGCTTCGACCCATACAGAGTTTCAAATGGACTATCGTTGGGTCGCGCCGTATTCGGAATTCGATTGATGGTGTAGGCAGCCGCCATAATCGCCTCACCCCATCAAGAACGATCAACTTCCATGTGATATCATTAAGCGGGCCATCTCGACACGAATTCGATTCATTCTATCTGCTAAGCCGTTTAGTTGAGGATAGCACGGCACGGTCGTCTGGTGGATAATCCCTAGATCTGCACAGTACTTGTTGAAGCGATAATTCGTATACTCTCCACTATTGTCATCACAGATGCATTTAATCTTGCAATCCGTTTGCGTCTTTAACATAGCACGAAATGACCAAAACGTCCAAGAGATTGGAACTTTGCTACCAGCAAGTATACGTAGACAAAACGAATGTAGACGTCGATAAATGTGAGTACTTATAGAGCCCCACCCTTCGCCTTCGGTTTCATAAGTCCCATAAGTTTGGTGTGTACAATCTCAAGTGGCCAACTTGTTCTTACTTCACCTCCTCGAGTATGACTGAACGGGCTGTTTGTCATTTTACCGCGTGCACATCCATCACATACACCGCCATCAGATGCAACAACTCTCGAAATATTATCGCAAGATTTTATCGCTTGCACAATCTTGTTCGTAGACATGACCTAGGCGAGCGTGCCATAGTATGCTACTGTCATTGATCGCACCACTGCTTTCGGCCTTGTGTGCTTCTAATGTAACATGTTGTTTCACATTCCACGCAAATAGCTTTCCCGCTCGATAAATTACTACTACAGTCACGTTGTCACTTATCAAAACTGCTTGATTGCGCTTTTATTGAACAAGCACGCCTCGGGCCGTCAACGTTTCTACAGAAACAAGTTTCTTGTCTATCCCAGGCAAATGTAACACCTCTGTAAGTTTGGATGTAAGACCATACTCGAGTATAAATCGTACTGTGTAATGGGGCACCCTCCGACTAAACTGATAACAGTATAGTCTACCTTCACTAATGACATTGAAAGGTGCTTTAATTACTTCACGTACACGTGAGCAGAGGAAGTCACATAACTAAACAAACGCTTAGTTGAGAAGGAAAATTAAAAACTGTATTTAATATAGTTAGCAATCTCAATTTGTTATAACCTATGTTAACTATATTAAACTACAACTATGTATGTTGACAACTTGCCCTCCACTCATTGCGCGCGTCCATCGGTCATTGGTCAGCGCGTTGGTTGATATCATGGCCCATATCAACCAATGATAGGGCATCTCCAACTTCAAGCAGATTTCGGGACAATATTATAGGAAAAGATAATATTGTCAATATTATTAATTATAATAATATTTGTATTGACACTTCACTCAATATTATGTAACGGACTCACCCCGTTACATGCTCCCTGCTCGATGTATCCCAGAAAAGTCTTCAAGCCGCTTATAGAATCCTCCCGCGACCTTCAACTAACTTTTCGCAGCGTACCCATACCCAAATTACCCTTGACATGTGGATCAAGTAGGTTATCTCGTTCAAACTACAAAAAGTACTCATTTAATAAAGTTACATTGCCCTCTTGGTTAATAACTTATAACTTTAAAAAACTTGTTTATTCTAGTACGACTGTGATCCCAGAAACATATTTAGAAGACGTATAATATTACAATATGCGATCTGATGATGCTATCAAGGAGTTTTGAGGTAAAGCAGAAGATTAGGACACAGCAACCGGTTGACGATCAAAAGTAATAGTGCTTTGATCATCAACCCGGGTCAATACATCATCCAAGATGTGATTAATGAGTTGAGTAAAGAGCCTTCAAAACATTGGTAGGCCAATATGCTTTATCCACCATAGGAAAAATCAGCGCCACAGAAGAGTGTCTGTTGCCAAAACTAAACCTTTCGTTCTTGTTCTTGACATTGAAACGCTTGGGTTGTTGGTATATCTTTCTTCGGCTACCACCAACTGCTTCTTTTACTGAAGAGCTACAAGCTCACAGCCACTTGTAATGATTTTTGCAGCCATTAAACAATACTCCATATTTCAGACACAAGGAATATGATAAGTTTATAGGTATTCAATCTTTAGCCTTAGTGGCAGTTTCTCATTTCCTAACGTGCAAATAGTTTGAGTAGGTGGCTCCTCTGACGCAGTGGATAGCTATCTCGATAAACTCAAGCCCTGTCAAATAGATCAAACGGTGTCAGGTATATGTGCTGAGTTGCAGTCCGTTGGCTCTGCATCAATTTGATTAGATCGCGCTACACCCTTGGGCTCAACTTGGCTGACTAGTCCAATTGTCCAGCGCATTTTGAGTCATATCCGCCGTCGTCAGCCCATAACATTGATGAGGTAGTTGTGAAGCGTGATATGATGTTTGCCAGATCAAACTAGAGACTGAAAGTCTTAGGTGACCATTCGCAACCGCGACCATTGTGAATCGTCGGCTACTCTTGAACGCACTTGGATCAGTAGTGCGATCTCATTTATATGCGGAGGAAAGTCATGGGTTTTCTAGGAAACATACGACACTATTTGCTTACTATCCTTTGCTTTCACTCGTGCTCAAGTAATTTCATAGCAACGTCCCGGCGTATTGCACGTCACTGTGAACTTGTTTCTGCTCTCGGTTATGCTTAGCCAAACGCAGATACGTTAGACAAATCTGCGTTTGGAATGAAACATCTTCAGTTATTGACCCGGGTTGTCAAACGTCTTTGGAAACGATAAACATTTACAACTTGAGGCACGTGAAAAGGCTGCGATCGCTTGCTTTGTATTCTAAGAAGTCGTCACGCTGAGACACTAAAACTCAAAGGATTAACAGCGTCGTACTTCATTCATTTTTTCTTCCGTTCTGTTTGTTCCATAGCCATGACAGGCGCATGTACCATCATCTCAACCGTTTCAAAAGATTCTAAGGAAGCTTTAAGCAAAGGGGTGACTTAGTGATTATTTCATGCATGAATACTGTAGTTTTCATTCCTTCCGTAGGCTTCATTCAAGTGTCCAAGATCTTCCGAACAATCTTCTAGTGTCCCCGGGGCCACTTTGACCAAGCCTCATTCCTCAAATTCCTCTTCGGCGGCAACACTACTTTCCCCTTCTAAAATACGGATGACCTCGAAAGGTTTGACTATAGCCGGCATCCTTGCCGCTAGTTTGGTATCCGCTGACGTCTCTATCTCCGTGCAATACGATGCCACCTACTCGTTGCCGGAATCTTACGGTTTATCCTGCTCGGGTAACGGAGCGAAGCCTGCTGGTACGCAGTGTCCTAAGGCCGGTGACGTCGCAACTGCAGACTGCAAGCCGTACCTGTTGTCCTACAGTGGAACGGGGTGCGTCGCCCCAGTCGACGCTAAGTGTGTCCTTGTGATCAATGACACATGGGGGTGTGCATTTCCTCAGACAGCAACTGTCGAAGCTAGCAAAGCTCACGCTGGCGAAGGAGCAAACTATGACAAGACTCGAGACGCACCACTTGATGTCAATTGTGATGTTGTTTCAGATGAAACAAAGTCGGGTAAATACGGTCACATGGCTATGAGGACAAGTGAGGGCGACAGTCATGGTCACATGACCTCTGAAGGCGGTAACTACGACCACAGGACTACAGACACAGCCAAGAACGGTAACTATGGTAGCAAGACTTACACTACCGAGGGTGGTGTAACAACAGGGCACGACGAGCCTGGTGTTTTCAAACATGACTCGATGGGAAACAACGAACTCGGTGTTACATCTGATGGTATGATAGGGCACCATGAGGGCAATGGACATGATGAACATACTGAAGCGCTTACGGAGAAATCGTCTAGTTATCCATCCAAATACGTTACAGGCAACTACCGTACTGAAGAATTCAAGAACGCCTATCCGAATGAAGAGACAAGCGACGCGCATGTAATTGAAGACGCTCACCCGACAGAGGAGACAAAGGATGCGTATCCAACTGAAGACGCTCATCCGACAGAAGGTGCCAACCCAACTAAAGAAACTCTGCAAGCCTACCCAACTGAAGAGCCATCCGATACTCAACGGGGATACGAAGCCGCCAAAGTACCGATCATCGCCACTAAACTAGAAGGTATGACTGGACGGGATAATGCGGCTGCAAAAGACGACACAACCGCGCTGGGTGGCCTGACCGAAACGCCGGTCGACACCTCCGCTTACACGACTGAAAATCCGGTCGCCCCTCCTGCTTACACGACTGAAAATTTGGTCGCCCCTCCTGCTTACACGACCCTTGCGTTGGCTTCACAGTGATAGCATCGATGGCAGAGGCGGTCTTTGAGTCAACGTCGGTGATCAGTTTTTAAATCTCGATGTTATCGTGTCCATTGCTGACAGTGTCAAGCGTGTCTCTGCGTTGCCTTCACTTTTGATAATGAACGTATGCACTCTGACAGATTTGACGATTGGTCTGACCGAGGTGAACGAAGCTGGCAGGCGAGTGTGAGGTCCACATTTCCAGGTGGTAGCTTTTGCTTTAGAAAGATCAAATAAGTCGTAGCTTGCTGTGTACAGCTAATAGACCTTTAGCAGGTGGACATTTGCTTATGTAGTCGTCTTCAGTTGGCAAACAATGTTGATGGTGTAGTGCAAATTCTCCTTATGACAGTGCATTAAAGCATTTCGTAGAGAGATGAGATAGTAGAATACTGGAATCTCTCGATGCACTCGAGAGATGCGCATCGCCACTTGTCAAATTCAAAGTGGCTGACGCTAGTTTAAAGTTGTGAGCTGTCGTACTGTGAGCTGTCGTTGTGAGATGGCTGCAGCTACGATGTTGCGTCGTGAAGCAAACGACGGGTTATCTTTCGGTTTTATGGTGAAGGAGCAACAGGGTGCTTGTGCCTCTGTAATTGCGTCGCCTACGGCTACGCTGCATATAACATCCTCGAATCTTCTTATAGAAACCGTATGCGAAAGAGAGCTACTTCATTGGCTTGTCGATGTCGCGCTCGCCGGAGAATGTTTTTGCAGACGAGAGCACGGTGTTGGACGATGTGCTTCACAATGTATGAGGGAGGTATAAGGAAGCCCACAAGCAAGCGTTCAAGTCCCCGCAGAATGATTCTCGTTCAATTTTGGAAGTTCTGGATAACTAGAATACAAGCTTACGATCGAAGGGCATGGTAATGAATCTCAAACCATCGTGACTGATTCGATTAACAAGACGGCTAAGGCCATCAGGTTCATGAAAGGTTGAAAGATAGACCTCTTTGCGTCCAAGGCTGCGATGAAGATGTTGCCCCGATGAAATTTTGAGGCTGTGATTACGTTTGAACTGCAAGAAGAGTAGAGCCTTGAATGAAACATCACGCGAACGTGTAATGTTTTCACGTCAGGAAGGAAGGTATCGAATTCAGGGAACAGGTGAATACCATGGCTGAAGTTCATCAACAGTGTCGAGAAAGTGACCGATACGGAAACATTTAGTACTTTGCGTGTGTGTCCACAGACTCTGTGCACAAGGCAATGGACCAACGTGGCAACGCTGGGCATCGCTATGATCAATCAAGATCGGTGAAGCCCTCCCCAAATTTGCGCTTATTGAGGCCTGGTTTCGTATGAACGCAGCAGATTTTACCGTATCACCCCCAAATATCTAGCGGCATACCACAAGCAAATCTCATGCAACAAAAGGTGATGTATTGGGATTCAACTTGCTTGCTACAGCTTTATAAAAACGTTTGTCCATGTCACTGCTCGTTGTGACGCGTAATGTACGTGAGCAGGTCGATTCGAGTGACAACGCCGAAGATGACAGACTTGGTCTCGGCCTCACCACCCTTTCGGATGCGCTTCTGCTCCGTAACGACAAGCGCAAAGTGATCGCGATCGAAAATGCGGCTCAGATCGTACAGCGACGTCTGCGGGCTCACCTGCTTGAACTGCTTAAACATGGCCTTTTCCACTGAATCGGTCGGGTGGACACGGCCGGGCATTAGTTGTGCAATGAGGTTGCCCTCGGTCACGACGCCTACGATCGAGTTGTCGTCTGCCACAACGGGTAGGTTGTCAAAGCCCTCCTTCTTCAAAATGTTCACGGCCTCCTTACACGTGAGATCGGGAGTGATCGTCACGGGGGGCTGCAGTAGCAGCTCAGACACGTTCTTCTTGGCCCACCACGTCGAGCTCAATGCGCTCTTCGACATGTCCGTCACGTAGCCGTGTTCGTACATCCAATCGTCCGACAGGAATTTGGACATGTAGTTACGTGTCGAGTCAGGTAGTACCACAACACAACGTTGGCCAGCTTTAAGATCTTTAGCAGCATTTAGCGCCGCAGCCACAGCAGAACCGCATGAGCCACCACACAGCAGTCCTTCTTCACGAATAAGGCGACGTGCCAGGAAGAACGACTCCTGGTCGTTCGTTTTAATCCATTGATCCACGAGGGAGCGGTCCAGCACTTGTGGGATAAAGTCGTAGCCGATACCCTCAACCTGGTAGGGTTTCAGACGGTTCTCATCGTTAAGATTCTCTGGCTCAGCCAGAATAGAACCGAAAGGGTCAGCACCGACGATAATGCAACTCGGACATTTCTCTTTGATTTTACGTGCTGTACCCGACAGCGTTCCACCAGTACCGGTACCCATGACGATCATGTCAACATGTCCATTGCAAGCCTCAAGAATCTCTTCAGCCGTACCATCATAATGAGCCAAAGGATTGGAAGGGTTACTGTATTGATCCAAGATATGAGCATTCGGGATCTCCTTGGCAAGACGTTTGGCTACACCAATATGTGACTCGGGTGAATCCCAAGCCGCCTCCGTGGGCGTCCGGATAATCTCAGCACCAAGTGCCTTGAGCACATTTACTTTTTCTAGTGACATTTTTTCCGGTAGCGTGATAATGATACGAAATCCGTAGAGCGCAGCAGCCAATGCCAAGCCAATACCTGTATTTCCTGATGTCGGTTCAATAAGAGTATCACCCGGTTTAATACGACCGGAAGCCATGGCGTCTTCAATCATTCGTTTACCAATACGGTCTTTCACAGAGCCACCGGCATTAAAAAACTCGCATTTAGCGAGCAAGTCACATTTGAGTCCCGCTTTTTTTGCAATTGTATGAAGACGTACGAGTGGTGTATTCCCGATATGGTCAAGAATGGAGTTAAGAATCAGAGGCTCCGATTGACGTGGACGATGGACATGTGGTTGCTGGATAAAGCACGAATCAGGTGAAGGACATTCGATCGATAGAGACATTTGCAAGGACGACATATTCTTTTGGAGAGAGTCTTTATGGGCAAGTTTTGTGTCCGATCGAGTCTTTCGATTTTTATTATAGAGGTTATTATTTTAAAAAGCATAGATGGAAACAGCGAACCTAAAATACTGCAAAACCTTATTACTCTTTTTTGTCCAATTAGAAACGCTCATGTTTAAACGAATGGTCAGAAAATGTTTGCCTAACTTACTCGTGCAGTGATTGGCTCCCAAGTATACATCAACGCTCTCCATTGGTTCAATATATCCTCCTTGTAATCCCAAATTGTTCCCACCCTCCACCTTCCAGCATTCAATTAATATCATTAAAATTGTATTGAAATCATCATGGCTGTGGAAAATCTCTCTTATTCCATCGTCGGTCTTGGGAACCCGTTGCTCGACATTTTAGCCGATGTCACGCCTGAATTCCTTACTAAATACGGTTTAAAACTTGATAATGCCATTTTGGCAGATGAGAGCCATAGGTCCATGTTTAAAGAGCTTGAGAAATTTCAATCTGTCTTTGTAGCTGGTGGAGCGACACAAAATAGTATTCGAATAGCTCAATGGATGCTGAATAAATACAATACAAATGCTACTTCTTTCTTTGGTAGTATTGGTAAAGACGTACACGGAGAGAAGCTCAAAGAATGTGCATTAAGTGATGGAGTAAATGTGTCATACCTCGAGCATACGGGTATTAAGACGGGTACATGTGCTGTCTGTGTCGTTGATTCGGAACGCTCTCTCGTGGCGGATTTATCAGCTGCTAATCACTTTCATCATGACCATTTGACCAAGTCGGAGAGTCAAGAGATTATCTCGAAAGGACGGATTTTTTACTCGGCTGGTTTTCATCTTACAGTCTCCCCTCCTGCCGTCATGACACTTGCTGAACATGCCAAGGCCAATAACAAGATCTTCCTGCTGAACCTCTCGGCTCCTTTTATTATCGAGCTTTTTAAAGACCCTTTAATGGCAGCGATTCATTCTGCTGACTTTGTCTTTGGCAATGAAAGTGAAGCCAAGACACTTGGCAACGTGCAGGGATGGGGTGACAATGTCCAGGAGATTGCACTCAAGACAGCGCAGCTTGAGAAAGCCAATGAGTCTCGCTCGCGAACCGTTGTCTTTACCCAAGGTGCCGACCCTACCGTTGTCGTACATCAGGGCAAGATCCACACCTTTGACGTGCCAAAGATGGATACGTCGTCTATTGTTGACACCAACGGTGCCGGCGATGCTTTCGTCGGAGGATTCCTCTCCCGTCTGGCTCTGGGTTTGCCTCTCGAACAGTGTGTAAACGCTGGCCACTGGGCTGCTCAAGTCGTGTTGACTCGCTCGGGCTGCACGTTTCCGGAGAACTGCACTTATCAGGAGTAAGCGAGCGACGAGTTTTCTGGTGGTAACGCTGCTATGAGCGACAAGATGACGAACTGCGAGCCCCATTGTTTGCCGCACTATTGTGGCGGTGCGTGTGCCTCGTTAGTAACTTTCGTAGGCAAAGTGCGGCATAAGTTGCAGTGCTCGACGCTTTCCCTTGAAGGAAGAATATCCTCCAGAAATAGACGACTGCCTCGGTGTTCTGCCTGTGCTAGCCACCCACATACTTGCTGCTTGAGTTATCTTGTCGTTCGACAGAGCTATAAGGAGGAGAGGCGTTGCAACTTGAATATATCATCTTTGGGACTCATCATTCTTGCAAGTCGACATAAATTCAAGCCATGTGTGCGCCCAATACCTGCCGCTGTGAAGTGTTGAATTGTTTGCGATATGGCAACGCACAACGCTCAGGCCCCAATGTATAAACACCGTGCCACCATGTTCATGTATTCGCATATCATTGCTTTTTCTAGATGAACTGGATGGGCTCGAAGTTTTCTGCGCTTCCAGCATCTATTCGTGCAGTTGTCACGGCACGTGCCACTTGACAAGTACAAATTGCGTCCATAACGTCCGCCAAGAACAGCAAGGAGGAGCAAAATGAAGATCATTCTCGATCCAGTCACGAGCATGCTCAAGCGCAAGCAATATATGTGCATTCCATGAAACTGTAACACTTTACCCACGCATATCTCATTGCTTGTACAAAACCAAATTAAGTCGGCGTGGGTCATTGACTGGGTAAGTGTTTACATAGATCAAACCAACCTTCTCAGACGCAGAGATCATCTACTACCGCGACTTCTTTGCTTCTTGTTTTGCTTTTTGCTTTTCTGCTGCGTGCTAACACCCGATTTGCGCTTTTTAGATGTATCACCTTCGTCTTCAGGCTTGTTCTCATCATTGAACTCGACGACTACATGAGGGACTCCGACAGCGGGGGCAGCAGGCTTTTTATCCATCGTCTTCTCAGCCTTCTTAGTCTTCTTTACCTTCTGAGTAATTGCCTCGCTTATGGCACTTCCATCCTTTTCACTTGCCACGACCACGGAGAGGCACGTTACACGAGGCTTCGTGAGGAGCACAGTCGAGGCCATCGGCTCGACCGACTTGTTTGATTCCTCAGGTGACGAATCATCCAGCGCAAACGAAGCAAAATCCCAGATCTGAAACGTACCATCAGACGTCGCTAGCACGATCCACGGCATCTTGTCTTCACCATGTGGGTATACAACCTGAAGGCACCGAATGCGGGCGTCAATGTCCTCATGGGTTATCTTTCCAACAAGTCTAGCACAAACCAGCATCACAATAAATATCAGCCAACTCTGTAGAAGCGTATCGATCGAATAATGTCAAACGTGACTACGAAAGATGATGATGTACTCACGTTCCGTTGGTCTTCCAGATATAAATGTGCTTGTCATCGCCACCACAGACGACGTATTCATCCGTTGCAAACACGGCGCAGTGTATCTTCTTTGAGTGCTCCAACGTGCCCACCAGCTAATCACCAGCAAAACAGACCGTTACTAAACAAGTACATGTACACTCGTACAATACCCACAGTTTCCAGACTCACCTCTGCGTTCATGTTAAATATCGACAAGTCCTTGCCGAATCCGAGCGCATAATGCATGCCCTTTTGCGAGATCATGACAAGCTCCGCTTCTTTTTCCAGTCGCCGAATAAAAGCAATACGACCTTTTACGAGGTTCCACATGCGAAGCGTGCGATCACGTGCTACCGAGAAGCACATTTTACCACTCGGATGCACTGCAATCGCGTTGATTTCGCCCCTAGAATACATCCCCAAAACAAAGTTAGTCCTCGTCATAGCTCATAAGGTACATCAAGCACTTACTTGTGACCACCAAGAATGTGTAGACAATTCCAGTCCGATGTGCGCCAGATGCAGATCGAATTATCGGCGCTACCACTGAGCATATGGCTCTGGCCAAAGAACTCGAGGCTCGTGATGGCACCGTGCTGTTCCATCAAGCTACCGACCTCTACACGCTTGTCCACATTGTAGATCCTGAATAAAACGGCATAACGCCCATTAAAACACTCCCTATTGCTTCAAACACACTGTAATTGCCAAGTTATGGCCAGCACTCACTTGATCATCTCGTCACTACTACCAGACAAAAGTGTCTTGCCTTGTTTGGCACCCATCAATGCTACACTCTTGATACATTCTGGATGTGCCGCATAGCCAAATGTGAGCTTCATTTTAATGCTCTCACCCTTGGACACGATGGGACATTCCCATCCATAGAGTAAACCTTCATATGTTCCAGCAACTATTCGGATCGTCATGACTGACAAGAAATACTGCTGGTGGTGGACTAATAGTGCGATTAAGTACGAATCGGGATGGGAAAACGTGGCTAAAGGAGCTTTTGGTGGCTGGTTAGTGGTGGTAGCCAAGTGCAACATGTGACGTGTGAACATCAAGTCTTGTGGGTAGTTGAATATGGGATCGAGCAGAGAGCGTTGAATATGAGCGTTTCCGTTGGTTTATTAGCCTAAGCACTTGGTAAGAAGCATGTCGAAGCCACGAAAAAGTTAAAAATTCTTTGTAGACGCAACGCACAACTATCGATCGCTAAGCGGCATTTGTTAACGTTGATTGAAGACAAAACGAACCATGGAATCGAACTCGGACGTTTTGGCAACAAACCACGGTAACAACATGAGTAAATGGGCCATGGATGGCATGCACCGACGTCGTCTCTCGCTGTTGGAAAAATGGGATAGTGACAAGTTAATGGCCATTGGATATCTTCGTCGACAACGCGTAAGCAACTTTCTAATCGCTTGAAAGTCATGAGTCACTAACGTAGTGTCATGCCGCTTATAGGAGATTATAACGTGGATCGAGAGTGTATTAAAGTGTGAGCTGTCGTCCATTTGCCTGTTTGAAGTACTAAAGTCGGGCGTGGTGTTGCGTGAAATGGTACGTAATGGTCTGCTTTATCAAACCTTCAGTGACTCAACAGTTTGCTTAATGTAGATGGAAGTATGCTTCCCCGATACCTCCAATTGTATGCAACCAATCAACCGCAACTACTCAAAGCAAATGGCTCCCTGGAAGGAGCGCGAGAATATCTCGGTTTTCCTAAGGCTGTGCAAGTCGTACGTAACTTTCACTTGTCTGTAGCATGTGTATTACATGAAATGCTAAACGGCAGCAATGCGACAGGATTGGAATGAACGGCTTGTCATTATTCTGCACGGATGACTTGTATGAGGGCACGGACATGGTGCAAGTGTTATTCTGCTTGGAGCATTTTAAAATGATCTTGGAGGATCATACTGCCCATTATTCCAAGTGCGTTTGTACAAATGAGCCGGCTGAGTTTTCCAACCAAGAGGTGAGAAAGCAATTCGTGGAAATGACCGAGCCGGATCTGATGGTATTCTTGTTGAATGTACAGCTGGAGATGTCGAGAACCAAACAAGATGTAGTCAATGTCACGGCTTCAAGGCGTCTACTTTCTTTTGGTAGATCGTCAGTATTGCCGACAAGTATCGCAGATAATGAAAAAGAGTCCGTCACGAGGGAGGCGTCAGAGCTAGACTTTGTGCTGTCGAAGGGCAAGAAGAACGAAACAGTGGAACCCGCTAAAGTCTCCGATGAGAAGGTCATCGATGAAGTGCTGACTGAGGTATGCAATCATGCGTCCGAAGATAAGCCGAATGTCGAAAATCCTGCTGACGGCGATAATATGAGCTTTAGACAGAACGGAAGTGACGTTAGCAATGAACAAGCGATTCAAGCTGTAGACACCTTCGTCCTTGTGCAAAACACCAAGGTCAACCTGCCGTTGGTGCACTTGGGAACAGAAGCCAAGAATGAAAAGGCTGTTGCACGATTACTGGCGAAACATGACGTGTCAACTACCATTGAGAAGGAATTTGAAACACCCATGGATGAAGTCGCCATTGCTGTAGAGGAAACAATACGAGGGACGACTACTGATCCGGCAACAGACTTGGTAGTGGACATGAAGGCAGAAAATGATGACCAAGTCAATTGCAAAAGTGAAGTTCCTGCTGCAGGTTTAGTACCGAAAGGAACTGATGAAAGCGAAAACCAGACCAATATCGATAACGAAGTCACGGCGGGAACTGACATTCCTGTTACAGGCCCGGATGATGCATCAGTTGAGTCGACTTTAGCTGAAGACATTGCAAGTGCTCAATCTTCAGCAGAAAATGTAGCAGAGGATGTAGCCGAACAAGAAGATGCGGTGGGTTTATACGTATATGTTTGTTTTACCATTGTTTCGTCTAACACTTGCTATTCTTCGTGATAGACGTCGCAACCAACAGAAGAGGAGCTTCTTGACGCAAAGACAATGGCAAAATGCTCATGCGGCACATGCACTATCATGTAATCTTTGAGTTTCGTTCAAGCGAAATAATAAAAGTGAAATACTACACATGTACTTTGCCTTGGTTTGGATGACTATAAACACTGTTGCTCCCATTGCAAATGCAAAGCAATTGTTTGTTTTGACTGCATTATCATGCCGCTTATTCTGCTTGTTGTTAATAAGCTTTTGCAGCTTCGCTTACTGTAAAATGCAATGCAATGATTGCGCTTGCCACCTCCGCTACAACATCACAATAACGTAAGTGTTACTGGTCAGTAAGATCATCTTCTTCTTGGACGCGTTGTCAAAGATCTCAACGGTCGGCCACAAACGAATAAATAAGGAGTCTTCAGGCGAGATGTTCTTTCAACCGCATGCCGTCTGAAAACAGTCCTTACCACAAAGTTTACGACAGAAGTTGCGCTCTATATCGACAAACTTCTGGCCACGAAAGATGTTCAGTATCACATCGATCATCCCGTCCAATTATGTCTAATATAACCACACCCGCGCCGTATTTTCACGGTAGTGCATTGGGTTCATGTCCTTCAATGCATAACCGTAAAAAACGTCAGTAGTACTCTACGTCCTACAGCAGCTGGTGAGACACCACTGTGTCTGGATATCACTGAATACTTGTCTTGCTAGCATAGAAATGGCTACGGATCTGAAGGAGACGTAAACTCGGACCATTGACTGCAATTTGCCCTCATAAATTGTATTCGTGTTGCCACAATGGACTACAATGAATGAAACCAACGGTGACATACACGATCTATCCATGCGCACGAGGGTGTACTTGGTCCAGCGATGATTGTGAGAATGATGGTCTTATAGTTGCCTTTTTTTCCAAGTAGTCAGTCTACCTGTCAATAATGATCGTACGTTCATATGCGCTTATACAATTTTAATTATTTTAACCAATCAAACACAAGCTATCGTTACAGTTCCTCCATTACGCCCAACGACAGCGCTACTTCAGACCCGGACCCACGACACGCTCTCCTAAGGACGTTCTGCCACACTTTTTAATCATGCGCAAGAATGGGTGGAAGACACCATTTCACGTGTTGCAATTGGGCACATGGGTGATCTTTCCGGCCGTCATGGCGCTCTTTTTTGTCTTTTACACGCCCATTCTGGACAAAACGCTGGCCATCGTCCTTAGCCTCGTATACGCGGCTGCCTGCCTCTTTACAGTCATATTTGTATCCATATGCACAGGAACGGACCCATCGGATGATTATATCATGCGACCATCGGTATGTGAAAAGGCATTATACAATGACTTGGGCGTTATATTCTGACCGTTTGTTGCTCCAGTTGCAGACAATAGTCGACGTTAGAGACTCACGCCCAGACGAACGAGTTTATTGCAACGTCTGCATGAAATATGTGTATGTCTGTCTTTTTATTTCTCTCTTATGGTCACTATAGTTGTTGGAAGGTGATGAGATTCTAATGAAAGGTTGTGCATCTGCTACAGCAACAACAAGAGTCGACATTGTCGGCTATGTGACAAGTGTGTAGACGTCTTTGATCACCATTGCAAGTGGTTAAACAATTGTGTGGGTAGGAAGAACTACCAGTACTTTTTGGGATCCGTCGTGGGCGCCTCAGTGTTTCTAGCAGTGCAGATTGCGGTGGGAATTGTTATTGTCGTAAAGCTTTACTCGGATGAGAAAGAAATGCAGAGACATTCAGCTACGAGCTATGGCTGCTCGACAGAAAAGGATAATACAACGGGACTGTGTGTCGACGGACAATACCGCATCTCACTGCAGGCACTACGGATCATCCATATTGTGTTGCTTGCATTTTTGAGCCCGTGGTTGTTTATGATCGGACAGCTTGCGCTTTTCCACTTCCATTTATGTACGTCAGCGAAATTGTACCCTTGGCTGTCTAATGCAAGGTAACTTACATGTATTTTTCTTGTGCGTGCTTGCATAGGCATGGAAAACATCACGACCTACGATTATATTGTTCGCCAGCGCAAGCGAAGAAATGCTCAAAACCGAGAAAATAGCGTACGTATATATCCTCTAGCAGCTGTAAGGAGTTCTTGAGTGACCGAGAGCGACTGCATCTAGTCACATGACCTATGTAGAACGAGAACGTCACTCTCGTATGCTATGCATATTAACTATTTGTTGATGTTCGTATGTTGACCGTGTAGGCTCATGTGTCATGGTGGAAACGGTGTTGTGGGGAAAAACCCAACTCTGATGCTGTGCCGAGCAATTCAAAAGCCAGCGTCAACGAGATAAGCGACTCGCGCGTGTCCAGCGAAAGTGTGCGCAGCGAGGAAGAGGTACTGGCAGCTATTGAAGCGGAAGTCGACGAAAGTCTGGAGGTGCTTAGCAACCAAAGCGGCGAGATCCGCGAGCGCGACAGCAGCCGCCGTGGGAGTAGCTTATACCGCAAACAGAGGAGCAACAGTGGACCGAAGCGTGGGTTTGGACTTCACATTGATCTGACCCAGCAACGAGGTGGTCAGACTAAAGTCGATCCGAATGATGACGTCAATACCCCAAGATCAGAAAATGGAGATACAACGTACTTGGCAGCGCCGTACTCGCCCGGAACTCCTGCGTCGCATCTATCGCTGCGCTCTGATGCGGGTAGCGCCTACTTTTCAAGCTCACAAGTGGACGAGAACGAGTTGCGAGATGCTGGTGACTCGACTAACGAGCCTTCTTCAGCATACTTGGAGTCCAGTAACTCGTCTATGGTCATGTCTGACCGACCACCTATTGATTTACCGTCAGCGAACCACATCGCGTAGATGAGTGTTCTATCATTACAGTTCACAATGCGACTTGTCTCGCTGCGTCTTCAGCTTGTAAAGAATATTTGAAGACAGTGTGGGGCAAAACTAGCGTGTCTCGACGTTGACACAATCAGATGACGACGACTCACAAGCTAGCTGTATACTGTCGTTAGCTACAAAGAGTACAAGTATTTATGCACATTTCAAGGGGCGAGCTCGTCATCTCTACGGCCCGATTAAAAAAGCCAGGCGACCGCATAGATATTGCTTATTTCTTTTACAAGAGCAAAAGATTTTGTCTAAAAGAAGAAAGAGCAACGATGATAAGCACTAAAGCCACAGTCTATGGCCTTGAACAGTGCAAACAAGAGCCTCAGCTCTCACGCACAGCTGTGACTTTAAAGCTCTTGGCGCTCTCGTCCGCAGTAATGTCCACATGCAATACGTCGACAATGCCGCTGACGCTAGGCGTATACAACGTCTTGCTCAGTAGTCCACTGTCCTGTGAGTGCTCTACTTCCAGCGAATAAAGTGCAGCTACAGCCGTCCAGCCGCCCATATCGTACTCGTGTTCCTGAATACTCACTTCCGCTCCGGGCGAGAGCTCACGTATCTCCTGTATCTTCTTTTTCCCTTCTGCCTCCATCTCGTCCGAGCCAAAAGTGGCAATTACCTTTACAGGATGCGACGTCGAATTCTTAAGAGTCACCGACTTGACATAGTGCGGAACAGCGACCATCTTCGTTGAACTTCAACTTGTGGCTTTCGATGACTTTTGGATTGTGAGAGGATTTTTAATGATAAAAGGATCCAGATGAAGTAAATAACATGAAACTGACAATCATTCTATAATCGTACTTTATCGCATATAGTGCTTACACAATATATAGGCTTTTTTATACATGTATAATCGTTTTATTTTTCGTGTTAAAACGTTTAAATACTTAATCGCAGCGTAGCATCGACCGTTGCATAGTGAGAACCAGTCAAAACAAATTGAATATGAGGCCTTCGAGTACTGGCTCAACATATCCTGCTACTTCTGTAGCTACAGAGAGGTTCATCCACGATGTACTACGTCCAAGCAGCTACTCGTCACATCAAGTGATTGACTTGACACTAGACGACGACGAGGATGATGAAGAGAAGCCAATTGACAGTCAAATCGCTCAAGAATCAGTCACGACTGAGTCCGCAACAAGTTCTGATTCTGATGCATTTAAATTAAGTGGATTACATGAAATGGACAATAAGGTTACAGACGAGACAACATTTGAGAGAATAATGCCATTAATAGAAGATGTCGAGTCGGATGTGGACGAAGAATGGCCACATGTGGCTACTAATGAGCCTTTTGTGGTAAATAATCAAGTCTCTTATAGGCAGACACAAGAGGACGTACAAGTGACGTTGAATGCTATTGCTAAGACAATTCCACTGTCTTTTAATGACAAACAAACAAGTTTTTCTAACGAAAATGAGGAGGAGAAAGTGACGAGACACGAGACATTGACGTTGTCTCTAAATAATGACAGAGACAATGCAATGGAGGTTGAGGAAGATGAAAAAGTACCAAAGCAAGTAGTAAAAGCTAATGAGTGTTCAGTTACTACAACAGATCAAGTTGTTTCAATGGAAAGTTTGGAAGATGGAGAGATTTTTGAAGAAGGGGTGAGTCTGAAGCCGATGATGCAGATGAATACAGTAAAGCACCAAAAAGCTGGAAATGGAAGTAGCCATTTGGTGGACGCAATGAATATTCGTCCGCATTTGCGAAGCAAAAAGCAGAAAAAACGTGGTAAGAAAAAGACCAAACGAAAATTAGAGGCCATGCAGATGATGCATGCGTCACCTAGTCAAATGTATCCCGTATATGAGCGGACGATACGTCAGCGACCACTTGCAGATGCGCCACCACCTGGGCATTGTACGCTTGCAATGATGAGGGGTGAACCAAGAGGCAAACCAATAAATGCGCGTCCTGTCTTTCAAGATGCATCTCCAGCTCTTTTCCACGCTGGTGATCTCCGTGTTGGCGTCCCACATCCGCCAAATAGGCCTACACCACAGCAACGGTCAGCTTATCCACTACCACCACAGCAACGACCATCTCGTCCTCATATACCACAGCAACGACCAGATCGTCCACTACCACCACAGCAACGACCGGCTCGTCCACTACCACCACAGCAACGACCGGCTCGTCCACTACCACCACAGCAGCGACCGGCTCGTCCATTACCACCACCGTACGAAGACAGTCAGATTTTGCGCGTAAATCGTCAAGGTAGTATGGAGATGATCAACGGTGAGGCAAAGTTGTCTTCTCGTCCGATAATCTCGGAGCCACTGCACGGTGGATTTAAGTACCGACCGGTATCGATGTTTCCACCTCCACCCGTGTCAAATGGACCAGATATTCCATTACAACGCTCCGCATGTGATTCATCCCGGCTTCCTCCTGTGCTTAAATCAGGTGGGGGCAATATTAAAAACTCCGTTGCTAGCACGGGGCGTGGTGAATCCGGGGACGTTGATCTAGACAGTCTTCGAGCGGCTGCGCTCCGCACCAAGATGAAGCGCTCCCTGCAGCAAATGGAGCGAACAACTGAAACAGTATCTGTTGTGCAGTCTACTCCGTCAACCTTGGGATCTTCTTCAAAACCAGCACACTGCGAGGGGAAGCAGGTAAAGGCTACGAGCCCTGAGATCGATAAGTTGCGCTTTGATATTCTACGATCTATGACGAAAAATCGGAACCGAACTACTAGCACCAAGGCACTAAACGCCTCATCGCCAATACTACAAGTTACAGAACCGAACGCAATCGAAAAACCTAATGAGAGCGGGATAAATAAAACCACCAAGAGCAATACTTTAGCTGCTCAAGGAGATCCAAGTGCGTCAAAGGATCCGTCAGAGTATACGCTGACACATATGTCGGCTAGAGCTAATGGTATTGGAAGCAGTGGACCTTCAAGCGAGACGGATAAATCAACAACTACGTCTGTTTCAGATCAAGTTGTTTCTAAGACAGCATCTCAGCTGGCTATGTTTGCAGAAAAAGCAAAGCCTTCAGCGCAATCTGCCGCGTCAACGCCAGAGTTTCGGCCTTTGACAGCGAGCTCTCAATCTCTAGTAATCCAGCTCGGCCCCGATGACTTTTTGCCGCGGAAAAGTAAAGACGATGCAGCAATGTCCAGCGGTTTGCAAGATGCAATCAAGGAAATGAGACGAAAGATTGCTGAACGTGAAAAGGAGCAGACAAATCGTTTATTGGCGAGTGGTGCAACTGGACTGTCAAAGCCTTTACCAAGTCCAGCTTTGTCGTCACCATCTTCACAAAGTAACGTGAGTAGTGTAGTTACTCAGTTGCTAAGTGCCACAGTCGCGGTTCCTGGTGTAAATTCACCTGGTACGAATAGCGTAAAAGATTCGTCGGCTGGAATAAACGTGGACAGACTTCTCTGTGCGCAAACTGAAGCAAATCAAGCGACAAAGAAGGTGATGAAGGAGGTATTACACTCGCCATCTGAAACGTTTTCGTCGTTGGATATAGCGAAATCAGCAGCGGGTCGAGCATCCCCTTTGAAACCAGCGTTGGAGCCACAAGAACGAAGTGATATTTCTAGGGTCAGTACAATCGTCGATACGTACGTTTTGCCTCCAGTCTTGCAGCACCAGTTGCAGACGAGAAGTGGTGTGCGAAACGGAGATCCGGCGAGAGAGCTTTGCGTAAAGAAATCTATCGAGCCTGTTTCGGTGGTGTAATACCACGTATGGGTGAGTCTTGTGTTGAAGTATCCGCACTAATCACTTGTGTATGTTTCTTGTGCTTTCTTTGCCTTGCAACAGGGTATATCGGCGATGACAATCACTGGTGATGTAGCGGATACACGATGCGACAGTACTAAATCGCCAATTTCGAGCGAGGAACCAGGTTTGTTAAAAAATGATCACGACATTGATGCAATCCGAGCAGAGTATCAGCAATGCGTGATCGAGTACGAGGAAGCTGAGATGCACATTGTACGATTGTCGAACGAAATGGCTCAGCTTGAAAACCAGTTACGTCCAGTTGCATTGACAGTGGAAAGACCATGAAAAGGATGTCAAGTGCGACAGGTCAAGTCCGTGTAAGTTGAATGTGCGATTTTTCCAAAACTTTTTGCTGGTGTTGGCAGGAACTGGTTTGATGCTGTACTTGACAGATTCCGAAGAGCTACTATTGTGATGATGAGGAAGGAGAGAGGAATGCAGAGGTTGAATTTGAATCTGAACTGGATTGGATTGAGCATGGCGGACGAATGTGGATGATGCCTTGGCACAATATTGAAATACGATGATGACACTAAGTGGCGTTGTTAATATTGCAGCAGCACTACTGATGCCATTGATTTTGTATGCAAGAAGTAAGAAATGGCTTGGATGTGTATTTTTTTTATCGGTGGAAGAGTTTGCAGTTTATGGTAGAAATACGAAGGAATTCGTCCAAATACATGCACTGACAATGTCTTTTTAATGGAAAAATAAATTCTTTTAGTGGTTCTTTTTTTATAAAAATAAATTAGATTATAATATTAGAGACCAAACGCTCCTATGTCGTTAAATGAAATATTTTTCCGTCTACTAAATATAAATTGCATACCAAAAATAATACGAGATTTATTATGGTCTGTTACAAGTCCTCATATGCTCCATGAAAATGAATTTCCCGTATTACCCTCGGAATTTGGCATGAAAATATTACACTCGAATATTGTAATCGATTGGATAAATGACCTCGTCGTCGATCCCATGCCATTAGTAAATTTTATGCAAGGTGATATATATACTAAAAAAAAATCTTAAGAAAAAAATACTTTAAAAACAATTCTGATACGATGTATGACTGACGAAAAATGTGACTGGTTTTTCTTGTAGCATCGATATCAAGAGGTCAAAAGTTGGCACTTGGTGTCTATTTTTCAAAGCTGCTTGAATACTGGCTGCTGTATTGTCCATATTTTAATACAGAACGCATGCAAGTGGGAAGACAAATAGTGTCTTCTACCAAGAGGACAATGGGACAGTTAAAATTTCTCTTTCGATGCAATTTTTCATCCAAAACCAAGCGAGATTTTCACGTGGAATCGTCGGTAAAATTCTTTCTGCTTCATTCTGTGGAAGCAGAAGGTTTATTTACTGTGAATGGAGCTGGTTCAAGTACTACAAGAGAAGAAAATGGCTACATACCACTTGAACAATTTGTTGGACCTCATTTGGGAGAAACTTTAGCGTATCGAGTACAAGAAGTGAATCGCAAATTGGCCATGCGTCATGGAGAAAGTGTACGCACGTGGTTAAAGGAGAATTACAGCGACAATGTCGTGTCGCACGTTGTCTTGCGTGGATATGTTTTTCAACCGCTACACGATTTTGTTTCGACCTCAGAGACGACAATTGGTCACGACTGGTTTTTTCATCGGAACCCTGTCGTTTTGACACAAATGACATGTACGGAACCAAGTCGGAAGTTTATGTCAAACCCGAGCATTGCAACGAATCACTTGCGTGGCTGGTGGACTACAAATTTGGAAACGGATTTGCCGGCAAAAGTGCGAGCGAACGACCAGGCTTTGCTAGGTGAGAGTCGCTTTGTGCTTCTGCCGAAGCTGCACTGGTTGTGCCCAGTCATTGCTACCGAGGAAAATGCTTCTGGTCAAGTTATTGTCGAAGGTGATAGCAGGATGGGTATTCCGAGGGTGGAAGCGCTAACAATCGAGGAACTACTGGCTTTTGTACGAGAATACTTTCAAAATGATGCGTCCTCCATTGAGACGAACAAAGCTAGAAGAGTGCTAATGCCCTTATTGGTGGCTGAAATTGTGCATTGTCCCAAGAAAGTGGAATTTGGTATCGATGATGGCCGTAGGCACTGGTACGAACTATCGAGAGGCTTTGTTCTGGACCCAAAGTGCTGGGATTCATCACTTTTGTGCCGCGAACCTGTTCGATTCAAGCGAACTCTCCATAGAAACAATGCGACCGGAAGCGGAGAGCTCGAGTTCGAAGCTCGCCGCAATTGTGATGCGGACGAAGCCTTTATCAAGCCAGACAAGGTCGAGACCATTGTACATGAACAGCAACAGCATAAGTTCGACGATCCTATCAGTGTTGCCCCACACGAGCTATGTCGTCAGCTTTTGTCGCTGCTGGCCGCTCAAGATATACTCTATACTCACGCAGATCTGAAGAGGTCGACAAGAGAATTATTTTTATTGCGAAGACAGCATTGTCTTAGCAAAAGTGATGACACCTCTTCGCACTGCGGTGATGAATCCGCATACCTTCGTTTGTGTATGGAGTTTCTAGTCCTTCATGCGAACGATATCGAGGTTGCAAAGCATGCTCGAAGAGTTGGTTACTTGCTACTGGACGTATTCGATGGATTGAATTGTGAGGTTAACGTGGATGACATTCGTACGTCTTCTTTGCAAGAATGCTCCAGTTGGGTGGAACTCCTTACTGAAATTGCCTATGACACCAATCGCTGGAATTTCTTCAATCTCGTCCTACGAGCGATCGATTTGTCTCTGACTAGTGCTCATATAATAGAGTGGGGAGGATTCGAAACTAGTAGATGGCTGAAGTTTTTAGATAAGCTCCTCGCTTCTCAAAGTTCTCGGTGGAATGCTGTTGTTGTGGAAGTGATACGTGTGTTTCAAATTGGCAAACTTGTGCCACATTACAAGAGCCTCGAAGAGACAGCAGACTTCCAGAAAATTCAAAGTGTCTTTGATGAATTCGTTCATCAGTGCGATTGGCAAAGTGCTGAGCGACTTGCCCTTGTGGTGCAGAATCACGACATGGTGCAAACGCTATTCCAGCATTTGTCACTGCTAAACATGACGAAAGCTCTAAAGCGATTGCAGAAAGTTTCATTCCAGACTGAAACTTCTAGCTTGGCATTGACTTCGACAACTGATGGTGTTGCTTCCTTGGAAGCTGGTGAAACCTCGTCTGCTAAAGTACTTGGGTATCCCATCAATCATGCCAAGAACCGCTCGCTAAACGAAGGTGATAGGCATGTTCTGGAATGGAAATACATTGATACGATTCCGGACATTGAAGTGGTAGTTCGGCACCTTGAAGAGTGCACACTAGCAATCCACACTGTAGAGGACTGCAATGAGCAAGCGGTTCTTCGGAACATGCTTGTTGGTATTGATTGTGAATGGCGTCCACAACATCTGACAAAAGTGCAAACATCCATGACTTCTACTGTGCATGATGGAGAACAAAGTGAGAAACCGAGTCAACAAATTGAAGAAGACCAGACGTGTTTAAGCATTTACCAGCTCGCGGTCGGAGACATCGTATACGTCATTGACGTTCAAGTTCTTGGAGCAGCAGCTGCAACACCGCTGCGCTTTATTTGGAACGCTTCGTCTAGGCTCAGGTTGATCGGCTTTTGCGTGTCCAGCGACCTTCAGATGATTAAGAAAGCATTTCCGGAAGTGGAAGTCCTCTTTGAAAGTGCTTCTGCTCAACGGGAAACTCCTGTGATACTTGAGCTGAAGAAGCTCGCCTTGTTTCGACAAATTCCTGCGAAGAGCTGGGGTTTAGCACGGTTGTACCGTATATGCATCGGAGAGCAAATGGATAAAGAACAGCAATGCTCCGACTGGGGTATTCGGCCACTGTCCTACAGTCAAATTGAATACGCAGCAAAAGACGCGTATGCCGTCCAACGACTTGCATTGCATTTGCTAGCTGACGTAGACTTTGCTCATGCGGGAGCGGAAAACTGTTCCGTAAGCGAATATGTTTGGAACTTTACAAAGTCCTTTGACGCCAGCCGCAACCATTCATTTTCGTGGACGATGGCATCTGTGTCGCAACCGCTTGGAAAGCAGCACGTCAAATCTGCTTTAGAAGCACTAGGAGTGGCACCTCGATTCATGAAATGTGACACGAGCAGCAAAGTGGGGGTAATTGTCAAAAGCATTGCCCTTCTTATCCGAAGACCAACTGCAATTGACGTGAACACACGAAGACACATTGCATACGCTGTTGTTGTGCTGCCTCTGGATCGCTCTATCGAAATGGAAGCCTTAGGGGCATTGCTGCAAGTAAATCCAGACGATATTTCCTTGGCTGATCAAGAGGTGCGTTGTAGTTCTTTTCTCGTTCCTTGGTTTGGTTGTCTGGCTAACCGTGTTCATCGTGCATTATGTGTAGACTTTGGTGCGAGTGTTTGGTTATACTCGAGGATGCCTTGGGCCTATTGGTTTGCGAGAGCAGCGTGCCACGCGTATTTTCATCGATAATTGTCTCCAGCATGAAGAGTATTTGCTCTGTGGTGGTGGCGCAGTTGATGAGGTGTATGCAATTGCTCCGGACGTTCTCATCGCTGCAGTGAATGCTTCAGTCGCCAATCTGTCACGATAGAAAGATAGAGCATTGGTGAAACACCCTGAGCCACAGGTTCGTGTCCAATGATACGTTTCTCGATCTAGTGCTTATAAACACCCATGCATCGATGGTAAGCCTCAATACGTATAACTTTTCGGTATGGTTCATGACAATGCTTGGCTATTTCTTGTCCTTTCAATTCGCCAGGACACCAAGACTTTACAATTCCACCTATGGTTGTCAATTGAGATATCTTACGCAAAGCAGATAGCTCCATTCACTTCGACTTCAAGAGCTAGTAGCACTCAGATATCATCGATTCATCCATCTCGAAACAAACAATACTTCTTCAGCGCTTTTGATGATTTACAAGACGCATGACGATCAATGTTGCCAAACGCATCACCAGCAAGATGCCCATCACAATGGCGACCGAACATGTCGTGTCTTTACGACGTGCTCCAAAAACTTTGTCAATGTACGAGATGAGCGGAATATTGGCCACAGCAGGAGGTGCATCGGTGAGTGGTTGGCAGCCTAGAGGCCAACTCGAGACATCAATGGTGGTGTTGGAGGCAGCAGCCTCTACGATCTGCCGCAATTGCTCATCGGGACAATCTCCAAGTATTAGCGCTGTAAGCACCCCAAACGTGTAGTGGTGCGGCACGAGCTGGGCTAGCCATTTGTATCCGTTAGGAATGCTTGACATGGGCGGGTTGTAGCCCATGAACATGAGAAATATCGAGTCGAAAAGCCCACCCCAGACAGCTGCCAGCTCAATGCTAGGCATGATGAACGTGAAAAACTGGCCAAAATACGTCTGGAACATGATGTGGACGGTCAAAACCAGCCAGTAGATCACACCTTGGGTAACGCCACCAAAGGCGGAGAAACCTGCCATCGGGTAAAACGCGCTCACGAAGATCATTGAAGTAATAGCAGCGTAAGGAATTTCCACTATCGATGAAGCCGCAAAGTACCACAGCACACTGTACGTCTCACAAGCACGCTCACGATAAAATGAACCGCGCTCTTCGAATGCCAGTGGTAGCACTTGAACGTAGGCTGCAACGCCCAAGAAGCAGGTTGAGAAAAAAATCAGTCCTACGGCACCGTTGGCACCTTGGTATGTCGTGAAGTCATTGTTGCCAGAGTACACCAAGCCAAACATTAAACCGAGAGTCAGCGCTGTCACCATTCGAGTAAACGTGTAAAGCGGTGTGCGCCAATAGAGCCTCAAGAATCGGCGCATGAGCATGAAAAATTGGAGGCTATCACTAGCTGCTCGACGATGTGCAAACGTCACTGGTGGCAAACGGTCCGACGGCAGAAACACTCCAGGTGCAGTAAGCTTGGCATCCAGACATTGCTTGATATGGCTCGACTTGTACGCTGTTACGAAATCCACACACTTATTATGCCGCTGTCTCGAGAACTCCGAGCTCACCGAGGAAGTTGGCGAGCCATCCAATTGTTGGTGTCGAGACTTTTTCAATGTTTCGGCTATTGGAGCAGACCGTTTGTACTTCCACACAGGCGACGACATCGGCTTTGTTTTCTCAATACCAGCACCAATCACATCCAGCATCCAGGTGGCCGGATTGTCACCTGATCTGAATTGCGACGCACTGCGTGGAACGTCCAAATCTTGAAAGTAGTGTACAAGCGATTCGCCATTGTGGCCCAGTTCACCAAAGTACACAACCTCACCACCACGCTGCAGAAGCAAGAGACAATCGAAAAGCAAAAACACTTCGGTGGACGGCTGATGAATAGTACAAATGATCGTGCGTCCTGTATCCGCCACCTTACGAACACCATCCATGAGCAACTTTGCAGCTCGTGCGTCCAGACCGCTCGTAGGTTCGTCAAGAAATAGTACACTCGGCTGAGCTGCGAGCTCTACACCCAAAGTCAGTCTTTTAAGCTGCTCGTTTGAGCTTCCACGAACTAGCTGGCCAGCTACGTCGTTCAAATCCAGCAAATCCAAACACTCGTCAACAATCTCTTCGACTCTTTCAGCTGCTACCCGATCACCTTGACGAAGATATGCTGAAAACTGCAATGCCTCGCGGAATGTGACTGCATCGGAATGCACATCCATTTGCTCACAATATCCAGTGCACCGACGCACCGCAAGCTCAGTTGCATCAACACCATTCAGTAACACACGGCCTCGAAATGTCGATTCGCCATCCGTGTTGTTGTTGTCTGCCTTTCTACTCTTTCGACCAGCGAGTACGTCCATAAGCGTCGTTTTTCCAGCTCCAGTAGAGCCCAGCAGTGCTGTCATAGTGCCGGGCAGTGCGTACCCTGTGACTCCCTTCAGTAACTCTCGAGTCGATGTTTGCTTACTTTTGCCCGAGTTGGCAGAGGAATCTTCAGCTACTGGACAACCACCAGAGACTCCTTCAGCTCCAGTTTGTCCAGCTAGCTCTAGACCAGAATCTGCGGGGACGGTGATGCTGTATCGTAGATCTTGGAACGCTAGCGTGACAGGTAGCACATCCCACCGAGGTGTCAAGCGTACCATGTAGTCTTCAGGGTTCGTTTGAATTCCCTGCGAGGCATGAAACGAGTCGTTCAAGCCGTCATCTTCTCTTAAAACATCATGATCGTCGCCGTCACCTGGAAGCTGAGAACCGGCCTCGTCATTCTCCAGCAACTCGGCTTCGTCTCCATGAGGTGAGGATAACATCACGTACGACTCATTTTGTAGTCTTGACGTCGGGATAGTATCTGAAACTGGTAGCGACAATGCTGTCGTAGACTCATGGCGACAGTATTCCAGCATTAAATACGTCAGGACCATGCTCACGACGTACATTGTTGCGAGAAAGACAATTCCCAGCATCACCCACTTGGGATCGTCAGGAACATCATACAGCTTAAGAGAGTGCTCTCCCATGGTCTGGCCCTGGTACATCTTGCAGTAGTTGATTCCACCGTATTCACACACGTCCAGCTCACTACTGCGGTATTGATTCACAAGAATTCCACGGGTTGACCAAGCAAGGGGATTGCTCCAATAGATCCACCGCATGGCCGGCGAAAGTTGTTCACGAGAAACAGCGAAGCCGGCGAAAAGGATAAAGAATAGCAGTATCAAGGTGGAAACCGGTTGGGCTACGTGAAGTGTTGAGCAAGCTGCTGCTAGGAAGAAATACTCACCAACGAAAACCAACACTGTCAGCAGCATGTACACCACAAACACTAGAAAATGCTCGATGTTTGCCACGAATCCACCCATCCAGTAAACCAGAGAGCTAAATACCAATGCTTCAGTGATAGCAAGTGGTAGTTGGCTGACGCACGAGGCAAGAACGTAACTGGAAGTGCGATAAAAATTGGCGCCGCGGTGCTTGTAAAAGACCTCACGTGCATCAAAAAATGGTGCCAGTGTTGCAGACTGACCGAGTCCAAGGAAAAGCGCGCACGAAAAGACCACGCCCAGCGTTACCTGTGGGTCTGCTAGGTCCATACCATAGTAGATTGACCCCACCATTAGGCCGACTAGCAAATCCAGCAGCAGCCGACCAACGAAGTAGACCTTGTTGCGTGCAAACAGCCGCACTTGTCGCTTCACCACAGTCCACGTGCTACGCAAATAGCTCTGACGAAACGCTGGCACTCGCAACAGTGCTTCTTGTTCAAAGCAGATTCCTTTCTCACCATTCTTGTTGTGTATTTGACTGTGCACCTCCGTGCTATTGTCCAAGCGATCCAGTTCCTCCACCATTGCCTCATACATTGGTGACATGATCCACAAATCCGCAAACTCGTTAGCACTGCGAGGATGACGGCGTCTTCCAGGCATCCGAGCATGTAACTTTTCATACTGAACCTGCTGTGAAGAAGCGAGATTGCATAAGAAATCAGCAAGGTCACACTCAGGAGGACAAACGAAACCTAACGCTTCAAAATAGGCCTGGATATGAGCACGAGGCCCATGGTATAGCACTTCACCTTCAGCCAGTAGTAAAATGTTGTCAAAGAGTGCCAATACTTCTGGCGCAGGCTGTTGTAGAGATATCACTACCGTCTGCCGTTGTTGTCTGGAAAGACGGCGCTGCACATTTACAACATCAAACGCTGCAGAGCTATCGAGCCCTGTCGTTATCTCGTCCATCAGTGACATCGCATGCGGACCGAAAGCCATTTCCCCAGTAGTCACGCGCTTCATTTCACCTCCAGAGACGCCTCGAATGCGTTCATTCCCCAACATGGTGCCTTGACAGCGCGTCAAACCAAGTTCTCGTGTGACTGTCACTGGGTCTCGCTCACCATCGAGATACGTAGTAGGAAGTACTAGCGGATATTCCGAGGCAGGTGACTTGTACACAGCATTAATTGGTTTCGCCTCAGCGTTGATAGCGCAGCATTCGAATGCAAAGTCTAATGTCTCCTTCACGGTCATCACGGACAAATGCGTATCCTGCTGCGGCACATACGCCACACACTGTGGAAGTTGTGCCTTCAGTTCGTCACAAGACAAGCCGTTGTACGAGACTTCGCCATCCAAAGTCACCTCCTTCCTATGAACGTCAAAACGTCCACTTAATAGCTTGAGTAACACTGACTTGCCTGATCCGGACCGTCCAAGTAGCAACGTCATGGATCCTGGTGTGAAGGCTCCAGTCACGTTTTTCAAGATCTGACGACGAACAAACGTCTTTTGTGCACTGAGAGCTCCTAAGATGCCTCGGAGATGGTTTGTGATTGTTGGAAGTTGCTTAGCAGCCAGAATTTCACGACTCATTTGACCTGAAGCAGCTTGAGCTGTTGCGTTTGCCGCTGCAGGAGACACGGGGATGTCGACAGCTAGCGAAACATGTCGAAAAGTTACAAAGAGCTCGGGGACGGCCCCTGTCGGTCGACGAGGTGTGAAAGGGGAATCACGTTGACCACTCGGACCTCTTGTCGATGTTGCATGACGTCTAGAGTCACGATGCTGGTGGTGACGACGCAGTACATGCTTCTGGTACGAGCTGGTAAGTGATGACTCGAGAATGGGCATCGGCTCGCTCGATGTGCTTGAGATGGATGTTCGGAAATCCATCAATGGTGCAGACATCGTTTTCTTTGCATGGTGCTTGCGATTCCGCGAGTTTCGACGAGAACTTGGCATGATCCAGCAGGTTTCGAGTCGAGTGAGCTGAGCAGCCTAGAGCTGAATGTCGAATGAACAAAGCAAGTCAAACAACGAGATATCGACATCGACTAGCTCTATTCCTTGTCATCTTCCCTCGGCTTACCACTGACTGATTGAACGCTGTTTGATATACCATATACGACCGAGGAACCCAGCCAAAACCTAGAGTGGTCGTCCAACTTCGGTAGATTGCGTCGAACATCGTGTCTTGATGCAACTATGATCCATACATTGACACGAGAAGAGTAGGACTACAAACGACATGGACAGGAAGTGTGCAACTCACCGAAGATGGCACCAACATCGAGCCCCAATGGACTGTTCAAACATCATCATCACCGAGTACATGGTATTTTATCCAGCACACGCCGTCTAACACGATGACTGCTCTCTTCTTATGACTGTCGTAGTCGCAGTAAAAGACGTGTCTTCGTCTGTAGAATGAGGAGTGTCCAACGTCGCCGCCGCGAGTCCAATCTTCTTTTCCTCCTCCGCAAGTCCTAGCACGTACTTGCGGGTGTATAGCCCCACGACGCCCAGTAACAGTAAGGCACTGCCTGCTCCCACGAGTAACAAGACCATTTCAGTGCTGTGTCTTGACGCCGTCGGACTGGCCAATAGCGTCGTGAAGTTCTCCACTGCGTGGCCCGAGTAAACCCAAATAGCCGAGAATGGAAGACCCGTCAATAGCGCCGCCGCAAAGTACACGCGGAAGGTGACGTCCAGTACACTGAGTCCGTAGTTCTTGACTGCAATGGGAAAAAAAGCCACGCGCGTGAGGAAAACCACCAGCACTTGTCGCCTCCGTAGTAGACTCTGGAAACCCTGCAGTGCCGGGTGACCTCGTGCCATGTAGGCATGCACTTGTCGTCTGCAAAAGTACCTGCCAATGACGTACGAGAGTACAGAGCCCACAAGTTTGCCTATGGTTGCCAGCAGCAGCCCTAGCCAGAAACCAAAGATGTAGCCAGCTAGCAGTTCAAAGACTGTGGATGGAAAGCACAGCACTATAAAGGACGTAAAGCAGATTACGTAAAGGGCAGCACCAAGTACTTCATGAGTTTGTAGCCAATGTACAAAGAGGCCAAAGTCATCGCTCTTCACAAAGCGGAAAAGTAAGAGACCAACAGTCAGTCCTACGACCGCAAGACTTAATATAATCAACACACGCTTAACAGAAGAAGAAGAAGAAGAAGAAGAAGATGAGAAGGAAGAGAGAGAGCTAGAAGAAGATGCCAATGAATTAAAGTGTTCCTGCTGCTGCTTCGACGCGTCGAGGTCCACAGGCTCGTACATGACAGAATGATGGTCGTTTAAGTCGGGCAGATGTTACAATCTGAAGTGATGGAGATGGACTACCAGATGTTTGTGCGAGAGGGTGGACAGAACACGAATGCAAGCGAATGATTACATCATCAATGCTATATAAATATAAACTCGATATAGTAGAACCTGTTTAAGTACATACTCTAAGATTATCGATTTTCTATAACTTGATAGGTTCCGCTCCGTGGCACACGTAAATAAAATAAGATTACATTATGGAGGTTTTTATCTACAAAGTATTTCCTTAGACAGGTTATAATGTAACAAGTACATCACGTATCTACTTTTGCCTCTCAAAAAAATATTTGCAAAGAAAAACTTGTTCCAAATTTGACCTTTTCAATTCAAAATATCAACTTAAAGACGTCGTTAAGGTAATTATTGTAGTGACGTCCTGCTCTCATGGACTGGCTCAAGAAGAAGAAGGACAAGGCCAAGCAGGCGGCGGCCAAGATCTCCAACAAACGTACGACCTTTCAAGGAGAGGGAAATGTGCTTGGTGGCACCTCTGAAGACTCATCTCCACCGTCTCTTGCTGCTGCGTCTCGAGGCTCGTCCATTAAGGTGCCGCTTGTAAAAGTCCGTCTTTAATTGACGTTTCATGCCCTCATTTTTGATATTGTAGCTGCCTTTTACGAGCAATAAACCTCGTGCTTTATCAGAGGAGGAACAGCAGAAGCGACGGGAGCTGCAGGTGCGTTTTCAGCGACGAGGGACTTGTTTTTCCAAGGCTGATAGAGCATTTTCTTCTTGTTGGCTACAGGCAAAGGCTCTGGAGCAGCGTGGTAATGCGTGGGACAAACGTGTGGCAACTGCACGTAAAGCGAGGATGCAGCAAGAGGGAGAAGAGGAGAGGAAGTTTCAGTACATGGAGCCAACCGCTGCAGAGCCTAGTTCTCTTGAGCCACCCGTGGTGCTCTCGAATGAAGCAGTCAAGGCCAGGGAGCTGCAGAGCGCTCAGACGCAAATGGGCTTTAATCCATACGCAGCGACGTTTTCATCTTCGACGCAGGCGATCTCTGCCATGCATGCGATCGGTAACGATTCGAATGTTCCGCCGTCTGCGACTGGGCACATCACTCATTCGCCCTTTGGCGAGATCCCTCATGTTGCAGCACCTGGTACTGTCTTAATGAGCTCAGATGCTGGCGAGAATGCTGCAGTGTATGTGCTGCTTAGACAAGACCCATCACGTGCTATCACGGCGGCAGAAACACTGATCAAGATGTTAAGCAACGTCATCAAGAACCCACAGGTTTGGTTCATTTTTCGATTACATAAATTTAGCAATGTCTGATACATGCCATCGTTCCTCGACAGGACGAGAAGTTTCGCAAGATCCGGCTTGCGAACGCGGTTATTCAGTCCAAGCTCGTGGCTGTGTCCGGAGCTATTGACGTCTTAGTAGAAGCTGGGTTTTCGAGGGTCACCTTAGATGGTGATGCCTATTTAATGCTGGCTATTGATGCTTTCCGGGCTGAGCGAGTGCAGTCTGCCATTGACCGCGTGGAAGTGGCGCTCATTCAGCTCCAGCATGATTTTGCGTAGAGTGCCTGTAGAAACAAAGTGGTACGAATCTACCTGAATATGATGTCGTTGTTGCAATTGTGGGGTCATGAATATTGGTCTGCTTTGAACGCGACCACTGCTATCTTTATTGTAACGTGCGCTAACAAATTTGTTATTGCGAAGTATGCTAGATGCTGTGGAGGAAGTCGTTTAGTCTCGGCGGACATGAATTTCTTGAAAAGACAAGTGGAAAACATTGGAAACGATTGATGAGACTTGGGTGTGTTTAAATGAGCAGCAATTGTGCAAGTTGTTAATAAAGTCATGCTACGTTGTGACGAGGTTTCTTAGAGAATCGCAGAGACCACCGTCGCGAGTACAGCTATAGCAGCGCACATCGAAAGCGTGGGTGTATCAGTACCTCCGTTTCCAGCAGCAACAGGAGAAGAATTTGGTGACGGTGATCGAGTGGTTGGACGCGTATTTGGCTGGGGAGTGGTGCTATTTGGCTGGTCCATCGCTGATCCAGCCATACAAGCGCTTGCAGGGGAGGTCGTATTTCCGACATCATCATCCATGGGACCAGACCCTGCTTTCATCGACCCAGCAGCTGTAGCGGATCCCGACTTCATGTCGCAGCGCTCCGATAGAGGATTGATCACATCAGCGTACAGACGGATGGAACCGATAGTACATTCGTCTGGTGCAACTTGCTTCACGGCGTTGAGTGACTCCTGGCACGCATCACTGTTGCAAAACGCAGTGATCTGCGCATTGCTTGGCATTGCCATCGACGTGAGGCTGTATCCCGAATCTGAGCTACACGTACTCACATTTTCAGTCGTAGTAAGTTCCGCCAACGCAGTAGTATTGCACGGAGCAGCAGCTACGGTCACGAAGGCGACCGCAGCACTAAAAATCAGAGCAGAAGCGAATGCAGTTTTCATCGTGTGGGTTGCGATCGAAGCTGAGAAACTCAAAGTGAGACGAACAAGTTGAGGGTCGTGTCCCTCTCGTGAGACTGTTGAAGTTGAAGTTTATCAACTTTATACAACGCCGTTGGTGCGACGAGGCCCATTTCAATGGGATGGTGTGCTAACGCGAGTGATGGTAAGCGATCAACTTGGTGCCGGTCTATTGCTGCCGCTCATTGAGTGCACTGTGTCGCAATAAGCGGCGTGAGTCGTCTCTCCGGAATGGCTGAACAACACGTAAAAACTGATGGACTGGTAAAGCAGAGAGACCATGAGGAGTTTGCACTGCATTCAGTTCGAGACCGTAGAGTACGTCACATTTCGTAAGTTTGTCTTTGTGTCCTCTAGTTGCATATCACTGAAAGCTCTTTCGTGGCTGCATTAGGTGAGCTGGTACTCCAATGCAAGAAGAAGTGTTACTAGAAGACGTTGACAACCTTAACAAATCAACTGGGGAAGGTTTTGGGGGCCAAGTGAGCGGATTGACGGTCCACTGCAGCAAACTTACGACTTGTTAGTCCACCATTACTTTAGCTCGAAAGCTGAAGAAATTCAACATTGCATCTGAAGTTGTTGTGCATTGCTCGCACAGATAGTTATTTGTATTTGCTTCACTTCACTTAGCAGTATGACATAACTGTTGTGCCTTGGTCTTTTCTTCTGTGTCCTGCATCACAATGGACTAATGTTCTTGGTCACAAAGTACTTGGCCATGGCGTTTGCATAGAATGCATCCGTGGCATCGGAGCATCGATCTGATCGCTCTACGTAGCGATCAGTGGGAAGCATTCGATGAGCAGTGCGATTTTCGCCTGAGATCCACGTCTTGTCGTAGATGGAGCGCTGGCTGTGCGCCATTAGTAGCAACGTCTCACTCAAAAGCTCTTGTTGAGACACACGAACGCTATGTAAGCGTGTGTCGATAGACACTACACCAAAATACTTGGCCATATTACACGCGTAAGATACCTCAAGTGCGCTGCTGAATCTCTCGTGGCGGTTTAGAAGCAGCATCTCGTGGGGATTGCAATTCTCGCCTGACATGCGTGTATGCTCGTAGATGGTGTGACGACTATTTGCTACTTCCAACAACGCAGCATTAAAAGGCGAGTTATGGTGGACAGACATTGGTAGAAGGGAGGTTTAAGTACTTGGAGGTGAGATGTGGAATGACTGCGGTGCTGGACGACTTGCTTGTTGTTCGTGGCAAAAGCTGGGGTTCACGATCTTCCTCGGTGCTTCTTTCACAAAGGTCTACAAAGTCCGTTCAGTATGGAAGCTGTGGACAGCGATATGTAAGGATTGTTATGGAAATACTGTCGTATTTCTTATGTGCCATTAGATCGGCCGAGGATGCGTGGGTGACGTTGCTCTGTTGCAACAAAACGAGGTACTGCGCATGGCTCGAGATATGACGAAGGTGCGGTCAAAGTCTCATGGATGTTTAACAAACGAAGAAATGCTTTTTTGCTTGAAACACGGACGCGTTGTGCTGCCTATCATAAAGTTCGTATCACATGCACGACTGCTATTCATTGATCAGCAGTCATCAAGCCACAATTTTTATCGCGATGGCAAGCACATGCTCGTGGTTAACGAATGTGAAGCTGTCGCGCATTATTGCTCTACGTACACGCTGAATGATACCCCAGCAGCAAGGGGTCGAGTCGATACCAAGAGGAGAGTGGTCAGGTCTAGAAACAATCAATCGGCTGCCAGAGGTGTTGGTCACTGAGCAAGAATGGGCGGGTCGAAAGATTATTGAGCGGTCGTAAGAGCAGACTACTTGCAGCGACATCATTTAACTTCACACGAAATAGATTTGGACAGATCAATGCAAAATACAATTTTTAAGCAGCAGAGATACCACTCCACCAACTCTTCTTTCTGCAATCTCTCTTAGACTCGTCTAAGTCGACGTGGTGAGTCTTCATAACGCATTTCATAATCCTGTAGGAATGTGGCGTACTCTGTTTCAATTCTTTCGATCGTGAATCTGTCGACACCTTCTTTCAGAAGCATTGTCTTCGCGCTCTTCAGCGTGATTTCTCGCTGCATCCACTGCGTGAATTGTTCATCTCGCAACTCCAATAACCGTCGTCCTAACGAATTCGTGTCTTTCGCGAGTGCGCTATCCAGTATTTTTGCAATTCGTGCCATTGTGGCATCTGTCATGAGAACGTTGGAGAGATCCGGGTTGCTTCGTATGAGGACGTAAACGTATTCTACCCAAACCATTTCGAGCCCAATCATATCAAAATCAGGACTTGACTCGTCAAGCTTCAAAAGTGTGGAAACCTGTTCCGCAGTTTTACCATCGTTTTCCCACTTGAGGAGCTGAAATTCTAGCAGATGGTCAGCGATAATAGAATTGCTTTCCAATCCTGCAACGAGAATACTGACAAGGGCATCGTCCTTGTAGCGACTTGACATGGTCTCGAAACTCACGCCAATTGCTGCTTCCAGGGGTCCTGGTTCTACTAAAGTGACGAAGTGGAACCATTTGGAAAAGACTGGACTTGCAAATGGGTTGCCAGGTGTCCTATCGAGCTTCAATAGCATGTAAACATCTTCCGGCGTTTTTCCTTTGTTACGCCACTCTTTGAGTTGGACGTTTAGCAGGTCGGAAGCGAGAGAACGCGCAGATCTGATATCGGTCCCTGTCACTAGAACCTCGACCATTTTCTCGACCATAGCAGCTTCGTCCTTGTAATAACTTGACATGGCCTTAAACATCAAGTCAATTACCGCTTCTTTGGATTCCGGGTGGTTCGAAGTGACGAAGTCGACCCATGTGGAAAAAACTCGACTTTCAAATGGGTTGCTAGCTGCACTCTCGAGCCTCAATAGCGTGAAAACATCTTCCGGCGTTTTTCCTTTGTTACGCCACTCTTTGAGTTGGACGTTTAGCAGGTCGAAAGCGAGAGAACGCGCAGATCTGATATCGGTCCCTGTCACTAGAACCTCGACCATTATCTCGACCATAGCAGCTTCGTCCTTGTAATAACTTGACATGGCCTTAAACATCACGTCAATTACCGCTTCCTTGGATTCCGGGTGATCCAAAGTGACAAAGTCGAACCATATGGAAAAGACTCGACTTTTAAACGGGTTGCTAGCTGCACTCTCGAGCCTCAATAGCGTGAAAACATCTTCCGGCGTTTTGTCTTCTATATACCACATCTCGAGCTGGGTGCATAACAGGTCGAAAGGGAGAGAGCGCGCAGATTTGATATCGTTCCCTGCCACTAGAATCTCGACCACAGCATCTTCGTTTTTGTAATGAAGTTTTATAGCGTCTAATATCATAGCTGGATCGATCGAAGCGTCTGAGGTGTATGCTCCTGTTCTGTTTAGATGAACAAATCTGGTCCATTGAATAAAGGCTGGGCTTGCAAGTAGTTGCTCAACATCTGTCTGGTCGAGCATCAATAGCGTAAAAACATCTTCCTCCGTTTTATGATCGTTTTTCCACTTCTGGGCCTGAACTTCAAGTAAATCATCGGCAGTATTACTCAAAGCACTGTCGAGTTCATATTCTGCATCAAGAATCTTTATCAGAACAACGTCGTCCTTGTAATGACTTGACAAGCAGTCGAACATTTCGCGAGTTGCCGCTTCTTCAGGTTCCGGGTTCTCTAAATTTTTTGAAGTGATGAAAGCTTTCCACTGCGAAAAGATTGGACTTGCAAATGGGTTGCCATTTGTTTGGTCGAGCTTCAAAAGCGTGAAAACTTCGTCTGTCGTTTTCTTTTCTTTTATCCACCACTGGACCTGGGCATGTAACACTTCTTCGGTGAAATAATTTGCACGGACGCCACTTATTCTTGTCATTGCTTCGGCCAGAGCAGCATCGCTACCGAAATGATGTGACAAGGTCAAGTACAAGGACTGTAATGCCTCTGAAGATTCCGGATGGCTTCCTATGGTGACATCGATCCACTTGGTATAGGAAAAGCTATCAAGTAGATCGGCTATCACCGAGTCAGGGTTCACCAAGTCCTTTTGCACCCGCGACAACTTCTCTCGCAAACGCGACAACTCCTTTTGAAGTTCTTCGCCGATGACTTGCAGACGTCGCTTTAGAATAGTAGCGGTTCCTGAAGGGTTTTTCCTCTCTCCATAAATCAAGGTGTCGTCACTTGTTGTTATGTTTCCACTTGACCTTGAGTACTGCTCGATCGAACCCGGGGTATAAGCCGCATCCAGCCTAGGTAAAGCGCCTGAGCTGCGCACGACGCCCTCATGTGTTGCTTCTGCGCTGATCACGCTTGTAGTTAAAGATACAAGCAGCGCGACAACCAGCGCCTTAGGGTACGTGCTGGAATTGATAGACATCTTAGAGCTTATAGTAGCAAATGGAAAGTAGGAAGCTGTATGATCGGATCAGATTAAAATGTGGCTCGATTAGGTTAGTTATCGGGCCGGGATTTTAACCTGATACGATCATACAACTTCCCATCCCGTTCCAACTTGGTTAAATTATATATCGTGTTTTCCTGTGGCTGCTCTTTGGATCTGTTGAAGCTGGTATTATTGGATCATATATGAGATTTGGCTGGATAGGCAAAAGATCTCTCGCGTTCATACCTCTCGTCAAACGCAATTCGTTCACCAAATTTGTCAGGAGCCATTGTAGCTCTGTCATTGCTGCGACATGTGAGCATAACCAATACCTTTTCGACCTTGATTTCAAGCATCTAGATGCTTTGACCATCTTGATTTGCAGGTGTCTTAAAATCTCGTTCACTTTTACCTCATCTTCGGCTATGACAGGGTGAGCTACCATCTTCTTAACAAAAAGTACACCAGGTACAACATCTTCGATCTTGACCGTCTCGGTATCGATGGCTCGTTAGAAACTTGTATAACGCCGGCGTAGTGCAATTGAAACGGTCAGCTAATCGTAAAACTGAAGCGTACATCTATCTTCTAACGGCCCACTCATCGTCTACTACAAGCCAGCACCATTCGACTGTCGATCTCAAAGTTTTCGTGTCCATTTGGACGGCACTTAATAAATCTGGATGAAGGGGATCACGTGTGCAGCCTTCGTGTCGTCGATGACATTGCAATTGTTCCACAGGGCTGTCGACGTGATGGTGCACGTTGATATGGGGAGGCAAGCTACCAGCTGAGTTCTCACTCAGCTTATCTCACGTCTTTGGCTTACACAGGTGGTCGGTTTTGACAACCCGTGTTGCAACGGCCGCACGAGTTTTGGCGACGAATACTCGATACGATGAAATGCAGCCGTCCGCACTGTTTACGTGACATCTCTCCGTTACAGCATTCCATTGTACCACAACAATTTGTTTTACCACATCGCACACCTGTGCGCAGTAATTGGTGGCGTTTGTCACTATTCTTGGCCTTACTCGGGCTTTCTAGTATGCTGCAATTTTCTTAATGATTTCTACTTCATCAAGAAATTGCAGCATACTGGAAAGCTATCGTAGATACGAGTGAGATTCTTTACACATGCATATTTAGGTGAAGGAAAAAGGAAATCAAGGTAACCTTAGTCTATCTAATTGTAGAGGGGTCCTAGAACATTGTCGATTCTTTAATTACATAAGCGCAAGACACTCAAATGTTGCATCCACTGTTACTTTGGTCTTTGTGCGTCAAGGTAGTACTTTACAGCGTCAAGTTTTCTAAAATGCTGAGTGACAGTGAAACCCCACACGTAAATGTTTCCAATGGCACAGCTCACCGAGATCAACATGAGTGGTAGGAACGGGTATCGCGCACCAATGCGTGGGACGTACGGAAATACTGCTGCCAACAAGGCAAGGCTAGCCAGTCCAGCAAGAAAAATACGCTCAAAGAAAGACATACCAACGGCGGTGATTTTGATATGCCTCTCCTTTAGCGATTGTTTAAGCAACGGGACAAGCACGACCTCTGCTAGCACAGCATGGCAAGTGCCTAGGAGCACTTTAGATCCCTGTTCGGCGGGCGTGAACAGTAACGGGAAAAGTGAGATTGTCGCAACTCCCGATGCAAACCTGTATAACCGCATGCTAGCAACGCTATCAGCAGCCATAAGAGCCATTGGAAGTGTCACCTGCAGAATTGCCTTCTCGTGCACGTGATATCCTAGCAGGAACGAGCACAGCATACAATATGCAAGCGCGCTAGTAAAGAGCGACGAGTCCGGGTATTTCCAAATACTCTGCAACACCGGCGTCATCATGGCAAACGTCAGCGCTGCACACACCAGCGGTGACACAGTGGGCAGCACCGCGAAGCTTGCTTCCTGTACGAGCCCGCCACTCATAAGAGCAATGCCATCCTTTGAGGCAGGAAAACCGAGGATCACAAGTACCTTGTCGAGGAAAGTGTACAGTGCCCAGACGTTAGGCGCCCAGTACGAGTGACACAGTCCTCTTTGAACGGGAAACAATCGAGACAAGATCTGGTTCATGCCACCAATCGGGTCCTCGTGGTCCCACAGAATACTTCCGAACGCAAACACAAATACTGCAAGCACCATCGCCCCCAGTCGTACAAAGTTGGCGAAAGAGAATGTCATATTACCATCATGCAGATCTTGAATCGTCTCGTGCACGTCCGTGCTTGAAATTGATCTCTTCCTGAGCAGCTTTTGTTTTGGGTCTTCATCACTGTCCGACGATTCGGAGCCCAACTTTTTGACGTAGCAGTAGTGCCCCAACAAGTAGATAAAGTACAACGGCGCTGCATACAGATAAATATGCTTGAACATAAGTAGCACAGCATACAGTAAAGCTCCTTGAAGATCCTGATGCAGTCGAAACTTAGTGGCCGATAAGATCAAGAGTCCCAGCAGCATTCCGTTGTACTGGAAGTGAATGTGATCCACGAAGAGCAGGCCCGCGTCCAGTACCGTGACAAGCATAATTGCTAGTCGTTTGGCTTTAGAAAAAGCCCACTCGGTTGTGGTGACTGTGGGCCAGGACGAGCAGTAGGCGTGTAGAGCGTAGAACAGCACCACGTCTGACACGACGACGCTCAAGCGCTGAAAAAGTACAAGGGAGGGCGAGAATACAGGCGTCGAGCTAATTTCCAGCATACTCTTGTCTATGACAGCAGCTACAAGGCTCAGTATGTTCTCAAAGTAGGCGAAAAAGGGCGGATAGTCCAGCGTCCACTCGCTTGTGTCTTCATGGTACCATAGACGACGTGGCAGCTTGTGCGTGAGGCTGAGCCAATTACGATGCACCTCAAAGTCAGTGCTAGTATAGGAGGGAAAGAGTAATAGCTTCAGACACACGGAGAAGATGAATAAAGCCATGAGGGACGCGTCTAGCTGCTGCTTCTGGCGTCGGGTAGCTGCTCGGGACATTATCGTGACGGCTATGATACATGTAGACGTAGGATTGGTAGAAAAGATAAATTGATGGACATTAAAGCGAGGGAAAAGGTGCACCGTGCCATAAGTTGAAGTTGACCTGCATTCCTGTGCTTGTCGTCTAGCTCAAAATGACTGAATAGCCCATTTTTTAGTCCCCACCCCTCCATTATGAACCTTTCGGTTCCATTCCACCGTTGGTTTTGTACGTGACCAACGCCTCGTTCATATTACAGTCATATGGAGAGCCGCTAGCTGCCACAATAAGGGGAGTAAGAAGTGGTGACCCAAAGTCTTGTAGCTCACCTAGAGCTCCTTGCAAGAAATGGACTCCAGATTTGAAGTCGTTCCGCGTGTTAAACAGTGACTGTGTCATCGCGACATCTCTCGCAAAAGTCCTCGCTAATGACCGAAAATCACCGAAACCCACTATATTGAATGGTTTTATCGGTCATCCATAAGATGCACAGAATTTTTTGGCCGTCCTTCGAAGGCAAGCGGATTGTTGGTGCGGAACTTCGTATATGAACCTATCAGCTGCTGTTTTGCTCTGAAGCGATCCCTTTATAGACTTACGAACGCAAGATGTTTACTCCTGTGACGGGTAGGTCTTGTAGCATGGTCTTCAATGTAGACGGGCACTTCTACGAACTTGCCTCGTACTACGAGCACACACCTTATGCACAAGCGAGGAAGCGGTTAGATCGTCTTACCTTCGCGTGCGAGGGTGGTTGGGAGGTTGGTCAACTGCTTAAGCAGTCGTACCACCAGTTGCCTCTCGCTTAAGCGAGAGTGCAACGAACTTCTAAGACAAGAAGACACCGACGTCACGCAGAAGCTTTTCAACTTCTCGTGCGTGGTGCGTTTGTTTAAGTAAATTCAATACTGAGCTATATTTAATGAATTCGAATTAAATATAAAACTTAACTACTGATTGGCTATATATATATATATATATAGATCGGATACGCGACTCTTTAGAAGCGTATCCTGTCGCATGATCTTAAAAAATCTAGATTTAAGATCGCAACTGACGTCTTTCTGAGACGTCGCGATGCCTAGCTTCAACTAGCGTCATCCCTTCTCATGTGAATCCATAAATGGATATCACATTCACGAGGGTGAATCACATTTGTGTATCGCACCCAAGTGACAGGTCAAAAGTAATCATGGATACTTTTAGACCAAACATTAAGTATATTACTTAATGTTTACGTGTAACTAGTTGCCCTGTTACACCATCCCCAGTTTTAGAACGATTTTTACATTTTGTAAAACATCGCCTAGGAGGTAGAGAGACTTGCGAGCCGTTTATAAACGCGCCGCTTTAGTTACTCAATTCTCATTTCACCGAAACGTGGTAAGGCTGATGGGTCGCCTGCAAAGGCACCCATGCAGTCCAGCACTAAGCGCACGCGCCGCGATTTATCGCAGCCGTCGCAAAGTGCTTCAGGCACTGAGGTGAATCTTCCATCTTACGATAATGTGGATGAAGATCCATCTCTCATTGTAGATCACAATAAGACCACACCACTGCCATCACCCCAAAGTGGCGATGAGCATAGTGCATTGATGGGACATATGTCCACATCATTTGAGGCACCCGTCCTTGAGGAAGCATCTATGCTTCCTACAAGCGAAGGTAACGCCTCGTCGTCTGCGCCTACGAGCGCAGCGACTAAGACTGAGCACGATACTTCGAAAGGAGTAGTCGCGACTCAGTCAGATGTAACTCCTCAAGCTGATGTCTTGACAATCCATAATGGAGAGTCAGACTCAGCTGAGTGTGAGCTTAAAGCTCCACCAAGTACACCGTCGGCCTCACTAGCCCTCCGTCGCGAGGGCGGCTACGTGAGTGGTGGCTTGCCACCAATGCCACCTCCATCTGAGTGGATGAACTCGGATGGGTCTAGCGCAGCGCTTCTGCAGCGTGCCTCTATAGACACTCATAGATTTTATAGCGTCTTTCCTTTGTGGAAAAAGCAGGGCAAAGCACTTGGTCGTGATTTCCCAATTCCAGTCGTGCTGCGTTCTAATGAAACAGCCGACGAATATGAAGCTGAACTTCGGCGCCGTGTTACCTTGCATGAAGATGCAACGAAACAGCGGTCGCAGCGAATCAGCTTCGCCATGAAGCGTGCGCATGAAATCTTGGGTGGTAAGCGACCCCCAATTAATTCTCGCCACGCTTCTTCTGCTAGTCCTTTCGGACCTAGCAGAAAGACGACAGCTGGTGCTGCTTCACATAAGCATCCACCAGCCCAGGCACGTCAACGCGCAAAGCGTCCACAGGCTCCCACGAGTCAAAGCTCGTTGGGTAACCCTTCCACTGGACAAGGATTTGGAGCTTTCGCTTCACAAACCGGTGGGCCAACAGCCTTCCAACAAGGAAACGCGTATTCCCTTCCGTGTCCACCAACACAGGTGGCGCGCGATAAGAGTGGCGATTACGCCCACCTACTCGCGGCTGCCTACCCTGCTGCTGTTCAGTCGCAGGCTGAGTCCGCTGCGCTGAAGAGGCAGGTGACAGATCTCGAGAATCAAGTCTCGCGACTGAACTCGGATCTGCGCGATGTGAGGACGAGGGACCGTCAGGGGTATGACCGCCTGAAGACACGTTTGGACATCCTAAAGCGACTGGTGATGAAAAACCCGCGTCAAGCGCGGAGTCGTCCTCGATCACCGATTCCTCTATCGCCTCGTTCGTATACGGGGAGCCTCTCGGCTTCCTCGTCGCCTGATCGGCCGCGACGCTCGACTCACAGTCGACGTCACCATCGGTCTCGTTAGACCGATGTGGATATGTGATCTCTTCTGGATCAACATACCGTTTCAGACGATCCACGTAAAATACGGGGTGTGTCTTCATATACGGTGGGAGAGTGAGCCTATAATTTAGGTCTCCAACCTCCTCAACCACTGTAAAGGGCCCAATGAATCGGGGCAATAGCTTAGTAGTACCACCAGGTAGTACAGAGATTGCATGATTAGGTAGGGTAGCAGTACTTAATAGCACTTTGTCGCCAACACTAAAGTGTTCATTGTTTTTGCGACCATGCTGGTCTGCATATTGCTTTTGCTTGTCCTGTGCGCTTGCCATCGCGTCACGGACTTTACGTGTCATGGCTAATCGCTCATCCACAAAGCGCTGAGCTTCGCTCACGCTTTTAGCATCCAGCTCGCCTATGACGCCTCCAAGAGGCCGTTCATGGGTCGACGCTGTTGATAACACTATAGTGTCATCATCAAGGAGCACTGGCATTTCTTGCCGTGCCTCCTCTGTGACACCTATATGTGTCGTGATCACTGCTAAATTAGCAGTGTCACTAGGGCAACCTTAGCCCTCGTTGGCATTTGCACCGAGCGAAGTGAGGGGCCCTCCCCCACTAAGACTCGGGCTGCGTACAAACGAGACTGGCGTTCGAGGATGACGCAGTCCGTTAATGTAAAACAGTGTTTCACCCGTACTGGCGTGAACACTGTTATAATAGCAAACTCCACGAATGGCAATTGCTTGCTCCATTCTTTGGGAGTCGCTATTGTACGCAACACATCCGCCACAACTCGATTGGCCCGTTCTGTTTGGCCATCGGTCTGGGGATGATCAGCGGTTGACATGTGAAGCTTGCTTCCCAGCAGCTTAAACACATGTCGCCAAAAATCCGACGTAAAACGCGGATCCCGGTCCGATACTATGGACTCGGGCATCCCGTGTAGTCGATACACGTGAGCCAGAAACAAGAGGGCAGCCTCTTTCCTAAGCTCTTGGTGCTACATGGTGCCAAATGCACCATCTTGCTCAGTCTGTCTACAAAGACAACGGGCCCCGTCCTGACTTTATGGTCAGGCGGTAAGCCAAACATGAAGTCCAAGATGACCGACTTCCAACAATCCGTTGGAATCGGCAGTGGCTTCAGTGGTGCACTGATAGAAGATGCAGGCTTAATGCGCTGACACTCTTCACAGGAGCGAATATAGTTGGCCATTCGCCGATATAGGTGGGGCCACCAAAATTCCTCTGACACTCGTAAGAATGTCTTTTCACGGCCCAGATGCTCACTAGATGGCGCATCATGGCACTCGTGAAGTATCATCAGCTTGAGACTGTGTCATGAGGAACATAGATTCTCAAGGGATCACAGGGTGACAGTTGATGCCATAGCAGGCCATCACTGTAACTAAAGCGATTAAGCTTCACTTTGAGGTGCGACGGAAGGGTAGCCTTTCGTCCACCAAAATGATCCAACAGCAGGCGACAATGTTCGTCCTGATTGTAACATTCCTTGATATCGGAGGCCATTGAGCACGTCACATGGTAGGCCTTCATGGATGCCAATGTTGACGACTCAACTTGTGCATTCGCACGAAACACACTTTCCAGGTGTCTTGCCTCGAAGTCTGGTCGGCGCGATAACGCGTCAGCCAAGACATTCGACTTACCCGGCTTATATTCACCTTTGAAACTAAATTCAGAGAAATTTGTTAGCCATTTCGCCATTCTCGGCGAGAGGTGCGGTGAATTTATAGCGGTCCGCAGTGATGCGTGATCCGTATAAACCACAAAAGGTTCAGTGCCCAAGAGGTGCAACTGAAACTTCACAAGGGCATACTTATTTGAAAGTAGCTCCTTGTCATGCACAGGGTAATTCAGCTCGGCATCTTTTAAAAGCCGAGACTGATAAGAAATGACACGGTCAACGCCGTTGTCATCCTTCTGCATGAGCGCGCTGCCGATGGCAAAATTGCTTGCATCGCAGACGACGCTAAAGGGCTTATCCGCGTCTGGCAATGCCAAGACCGGTGCCTCTACAAGAGATGGCTTCACTGATGTGAACGCATCTTCTTGCTCCTTTGACCAAGTCCATTCTGTATCCTTTTTAAAAGGTCAGACAATGGCTTAGTCTGCTCCGCATAATTCTTGCTGTACTTATGCAAGTAATTAGCGAGCCCAAGGAATTGGCGCAGATCCTTCACATGTCGTGGGACTGGCCATT